ATAAAAATTAAAAAAGAATATCCAATTCTGAAAAATAACCAGCAGGTACCCAAGAGGAAGCCTTAAGAAGGAAGACATTTCATAAAGGAATTGTACTGGAGAGAGTAACCACAAAGCAAGCAAGCCGCCAAGAAGCACCTGGTTCTCTGCCACTGGCTCGGAGCCTGGCGGTAGGCTGTCTTGTGAACATATATCTTTAGTCTGGCCTAACACTTAGTACGTATATGCTGAATGGCGCTTCAGACATCATTGGTATGTAGCACCACGTTATAGCTGAGCCTACTTATCACCTTATACATGAAAAAGGCAAAATTTTGAAATCAAAACATAGATTCTACAGCTAGACTATCCAGGTCAGAAATGGGCAAGGATGCTTACTTGTTTCATGACCTTAAGCAGTTATTTGATTTCTGTGTGCCCCAGTTATCCCAAATTTAAAATGTGGATAATAATAGTGTTAGTTGCCTCATAGAGTTATTTTGAGAATTAAAATGAATTATAATACATATTAATCACTCATATGCCAGGCATTTAGATCAGTACCTGTCGTCAATAAATGTTAAACTAAATTTTCAGTAATATAAGCAGAGTTTCCTTCCTTCCTTCCTTCCTTCCTTCCTTCCTTCCTTCCTTCCTTCCTTCCTTCCTTCCTTCCTTCCTTCCTTTTCTCCCTTCCTTTCATCCTTCCCTCCTCCCTCCTTCCTCCATCTGTTGCTCTCCATTTTTCAAATAACTTGAAAAGCACCAATTTTTAGTAATTCTTAAGGAGGTGTTCCTTTGTGTAAATACATGCTAGAGCACCAAAAACTTCAGAAACTATTGTAGAGAAACAAAGAAACTATTTGGCCTTCTTGAAAGACAAGGAATATAATATATATGTACTATGCTGAGATGTTTTGTTTGTCAAATCTTTGTCAATTCCTCTTTATTCATAAACTCTCTTCACCCTGAAAGGTGAATTAAAAAGTCATTTCAGTGTCATTTTGAAATCATCCTGGTATAGACACATACCTTATTTATTAATATGCCACCTACTCTCAGAGAAATCTTCCTTTGATAGATGGGTTTTTACAAGTTTCATTATATTTCATATTTCTCTTAAGGTTGCCTCATTTTTCTTTCTTTGTAGAACTTTGTTTAAATTTGCTAAGGTTTAATGCTTTACCTTGATTTAAGCTTTATTCTGTCCTTTCCTTGAGATGTGAAGTTTGAAAGAACTGATGAATTATAGAATAAATAAACCTATCTTAATATGAATAACTAATGTTTATTGAGATTCGCTACGTGCCAATTCTGAATTATATATATCTAACATATATGCAGATATATAATACATATAATTTTTAGACAATCTCACATCTAGAAGACAATGTAATTATTATATGTCTTAGAAATGAAATAGTAAGAGATCAGAGAGACTGAGAAACTCAATTCCAGGGTTCTCCTGAGAGGCAGAGACAGAGATGATTTATTTTAAGGGATTGGATCATGTGGTTGTGTGAGTTGGCATTTCCAAATTCTGTAGGGCAGGCCCAGAACCTGGAACTCTTAGGTAGGAACTGATGTCACAGCCTTGAGACAGAGCCTTGGGGAACTGTTTTGTTCTTAAGACCTGCAACTGATTGAGGAAGACCCAAACACATTTTGAGGAAATCTTTACATAAAGTCAACTAAAGTTTGGCCAGGTGCGGTGGCTCACACCTGTAATCCCAGCACTGTGGGAGGTGGAGGCGAGAGGATTGCCTGACCCCATGGGTTCAAGACCAGCCTGGGCAACTTGGCAAGACCTCGTCTCTACAATAAATCAAAAAATTGGCCGGGTGTGATGGGATGCACCAGTAATTCAAGTAACTTGGAAGGATGAGTCAGAAGGATCGTGGGCTAAGGCTGTGGTGGCTGTGAGTGTGCCACTGCACTCCAGTCTGGGTGACAGAGTGAGACTTCAACTCAAAAAAAAAAAAAAAGAAAAGTCAACTGGATGTAGATAATGACCCCCCTCCTCAAAAGGCCTTCAGAGCAACATCTAGATGACTGTTTGATTGAATAATATAGCCCAGTCAAGTTGACACCCAAAGCTAACCATCTTGGGAAGCTATGCAGGATATCAGGGCTGGGAAAGGGGAGGACTCCCACCAAAATCTCTCTGGTGACAAAAGTCCTGCTTCTCAACAGCCCATAGCGTCATGGCCAGCAGTTCATTGAGACGGCCACCAAGAGAGCTTCAGGTGTGCTGTCCCAGGTATGAGGCGTGACCTCTCTTCCAGGTAGAGGGGGAGAGCTCAGGACTCCCTGCAACCTGGGGTGTGGTCTAGTGCCCTTCAGGGACAACCTAATCATAATGATCTTGTTCAATTACTGGCTCATTTTTCCCCTTCTTAAGCCAACATGCATCAGTCAGAGCATTCAACTGATGCCCTTTCAAACATTCACAGGGAGAATCTGACCCAATAAATATTAAATTTGTTGCAATGATCAATGCAGAGTGGGATGAAGGCCCGGGAAACTCGGTTATCCTTATCTGTGTCTTGATCCAAGGAAAAAAATATAAATTTTGCCAAAGCATTTTTTTCTTGTGAAATAAACCTTGCAGGAAAGCAAGAGTCATCTCTGTAGGCCCAGTGATATGTTGAATAAAAGTACTTTGCCCTTCTTTCGATAACAGTTGCTTTAGTAGTGGGTATGGAAAATAGCTACTGATATGAAGCTCCTTCTCTGCCTTGACCATGGCAAGTGGCGTGAAAGAAAGCTCAGATCAGGAGTTGGTAAGGAAGGATTGCAGGACCTCATGGCCAGCATCTGTGGAACGCTTACCCACCACTTATGTTCTCTGTGACTTCCTTTTGATCTGCCTTAGGAATTTTTGCCTGTCACGTCACCTTGAAATTGCACAGCACTTCAGGTTTTTTAATGTGAATATTAAATGGCACAGAGCATATGCTAACTCTCTAGCATAGCACAGTAAGAGGAGAGGAGAGACTTAAGGCCCTTTTGAAATCCTGATATGTGGCATGTGCGTATGTTGGTTTGACTAGTCAAATGTGGTCTGAAGCATAGTCATCTCTTAATAGCTTTCAGGAGAAATCATTTCTCCATTAGAGAGTCTTCAAGTACATATCTGGCTATTTTTACAAACCCTACCAGTCCACCCCAGGTTTTCTAAAAGAATCACATAAACAACCACACATGTATATAATAGTTTTTGTATTGCTAGTATACCTAAGGAATATTCCCTTGTTTCAGTAAATGAAGAAACAATATTATCCCCATTTCATTTACAGAGAAGCTGTAACTATCCTTTGGAATTAGAATCATTTCCAAAACAAAAGGTCCTAAAATAATTTTTGAGCAATTCTGGGAAAGGCGATGAAGGGGGTATTGGACAGGGAAGAAAAACATTAGCTTAATTTGAAGAGACAGCGGTGGTTTGTTGCTGGTCATGTACAACCCACAAAGCCCTCTAGCTTTGAGATCAGATATGGCACATTATATCATGACAAAAGTCATCTTAGGATCATGTTTATTACTCTGTGGGTCTACTGGTAGCTTTCCGTTGACATTCATATAATTATAAAATAAACTCAAACTTCTCTAGAATGACTCGATAGCAGAATGAGTTTGGGACAGCAAATAAAATAAGCCTACATATTTCCCTCTGTGTTTAGGGACCTGAGATGAATTACTTCCCTATTTTCCTTGGATGGGATGATTGCTATAAAATTTGCTTCACTTATACTTCGAAGATATTTTAGTCTGCTATTCATTTTCCTTTCAAAATCTTGGCAATGATATTCTAATTATATAGCTGATACATGCATATTGTGGAAAATAAGGAAATAATAAAAATTAGAATATCCTTAATACTACCACCAGAAATGATCACTGTTCAGATTACATAGATTTATACATAGATTTTTACAAAACTTGAATATACTTTACAGAGTTTTGAATTCTGCTAGTTAATTTAACACTATGTTTTAACTTTAGTCTGATACCATATTTTTAAAATTTTAATGGCTATATATGGTTCTGTTGTCTTTTTCTTCTTTAAAGTAAAACTATTCATTCAGTTGACATTCTGGTATTCTCTCATCCTTATTTTTTCTTTTTGCATTGATCATTTTTGTATATTAAATCTTCATTTGCATATCTTAGTATTTCCTTAAGACATATTTACAACTAATTTCTATAAATTGAGCACCAGTGTATATTTCTACCAACTGTATGACAAGTATAGTTTAATTTTATTAAATATTTTACTTTTTATAGGAAAGCTATAACTCATTATTTTAATTTGCAGTTCTTCAATTACTAATAGAGTTAATATATTTAGTGCTTATAAATATTTATATTTTTCTTTTCTCAAATTGTATTGTTCTTTGTTATATTTCTATTGGAAAGTTAATATATTCCTTATTTATATTAAGAAGCATTTTTGTATATAGTAAAAACATTTTACATGTTAAAATATTTATCTGGTTAACCATTTGCCTTTTAATTTATTTATAATGTTTTTGAAATATAGAAGTGGCTGAATTTTTGTGGTGAAATCCATTTTTTTCTTTTGTGGGTTTTCCTTTGAATGATCTCACTTATTCAGAAATTAGATAATTTTGTATCCATGTTATCTTTCAGTTTTTGATTATTTTATATTTATCACTTTAATATAGCTAAAACTTATTTTTATTTATGACACAAGAAAAGAATATAACTTGATTTTCCTCATAGCACTATATATATGTATGTGGGTAAATACAGGATATGTTTCTGTGTAGGAGTGTGTGCACATATGTGATTTATATGATGTCTTCTAAGTAATATGTTAAAGGTATACTTGACAGCTGTCAGATTATGTTATACACTTGTTTATGTTGATTTGCTTACAGATTTTTTTCCTCTAAGAACAAAATTGTTTTAAAGATCACAGATTTCCTCTTTGTTTTAACATCAGTAGGAAAACCCCTTCTTTCCACTAATGATATTTTGTAAACTGTATTAATTAGGTTTGCCGGAACCCAACAGAGACCACATCTTCCAAGGCCTGACACAGGACCAGGGCTTCTATACGTCCAAAGACTTTTTGCCACTTGTAGCCAAAGCCAGTAAAGCAGGTATACACATTATCTTCTATTTTCCATGTTTTCTGTTCTTTCTTATGTACTATACATTTATGTTAAATTCAAGCTTCAACATTGTTCAGATCTCAAATTGATCTCTGAATATTACCAATTTAAAGTAAAAAAATAACCTGATATAACAGTTAGCCAGAATCATCATTTGTCCATTCTTCCAATAAAGCGTCATCATAAAGATTTTTCACTGTATTATATAAAGGTCTCAAATGTGTCTTGAAAAACTGCTTCAAAGTAAGGGAGTCCTTAACAAACATTGGAGGATGTTTTTAAAATAAATAGCAAGACCTTCAGTTTGGGTACTGTTTTAGAATAGAATGAATCATCACATATCTTACATGATTTGTGTCCATGCAAGCAGATAAATTGCATGTCTCTTCTTGAATGTTAATTTTATGAGGTTAAAGTAAAAGACTTTGATAGACACCCTACCACTTTCTACATCCTAAGAAGAAAGGCTGAAGTCAATGCAGCACCATGCTTTGGCTAGACCACAGTCATTGTTTTAGTGATGAAGAGGTTGGAATATTCTCTCCATAATATTCCAGATCATCTAAACACTTGAAGTATATATTTTTATAAAGGTCTGAGCTACAGCTATAGCGCCATCTAATTATGTACAAAAGTGATATGGACTTACATTTTTCTCCCAAAATGTATAAAGGTAAGATACTTTCCATATTCAACTATTCTACAGAAGTTTACAGCTAAAGACACATACCATCTCTGCCTGTATTCTCCAGGAGAACTAGGCGCTTGTGTCGCTGCCATGCTTTCTGAGGAAGGTCATAGTGCACCCAGCATATATTTGAAAATCACAGTGTTGACTGTGTAATCCCAAATACAAAGTCTTCTGAGCAAAATGATTACACTTATTGAGATTGTAGGTCTATTCTATTCTTGGTGTCATTTCAAAAAATTATAGTAATTTATCTTATCAACAGTTTTATTTAATCTGATAATACAGTGCTACCTAACACATAGAGAACACTGGCATTTTACTTTCTTACAAAGATCTTCATATTGTCACAAAATATTCATATAGATGCCCTTGAGAACTGGACACTTAGAAAGCCGTATTTCTTTGCCCAATTTTTTTTTTAAAGAAAAGCAGTCAAAGGGGAAAAGTTTTATTTTAACTATTAAAAGAAAATAGTTTTCAGAAATTCTTCAGTTACATAAAGGGCACTAATTCAGCATGTTAATATTCAGAGTGTATAAAATGTGGTCAATTACAGAGCTATATGTTAGACAATATATAAGATAACATAAAAACAAATTATTTTAGTGAAATGCTGCAAATTATTAACCCAGGTCATAAAGGTCACTTTTTTTTTCTAGCAAGCAGAAATTTAATTGTGCTGAGTTAAAGACACATATCACGACTTTGACAAAGAGAGTTTTAATTGATTGATTCTGGTTGATTATGACCTAAACTCTTCGAAATGTGCTGTAGCAATCCTTCTAGAGGGAAAAAAGGAAGCTAAAGGTACTGACTATGAAATTACATTATGAGCATATTTTAAAAATGGGAATAAAACTGTCTTTCAATGAAGCAGAATAATTTGATAGTGACACTTCATCCTGGAAAACTGCAAGATGCAATTTTACACTGCTTTGAGTCCAAGTATCTTTTGAGCTGTCATGCAGAAATCGCTTCTCTACTTGAAAATGGGGTTTTCCTTTCATCATTCAGGAATGTGCGCCTGTCACTCTCCATTGCCATCCATACGGGGAGCTGTGATTGTACTCGGAGCTGGAGACACTGCCTTTGACTGCGCTACGTCCGCCCTGCGCTGTGGCGCTCGCCGCGTGTTCGTCGTCTTCAGAAAAGGCTTTGTTAATATAAGAGCTGTCCCTGAGGAGGTAAGATGGAACCCTCAGGAAATGTGGAGTTGTAATCCAACTGACTTTAGGAGATGCTGCTGTCAATGTTCACACCATCCGAGTGTTCTTGAAGTTGTCCAAAGCAAATTTCAAAATTTCTGGACTACATGGAATTGTTTTGTTTTCATTCAGACATTCCAAGTAAAAAAAAATTATAATACTGATTTGGATAAAGTTAGAAATTTATTTTTGTCCACATGCAAGTACTTCTTCTTGTCAGTGTTAGTATCTTTGAAGTGCATTCTGTTTAACTAGGAGCAGTGGAATGTGCTACGCATTCCATATCCTGTAAAACAGATACTCTTCACAAAATACATGGGCATTAGAAAAATGTGGCAACTAGAGACCTTTGGGATTTTCTATAAGCCAAGTTTTAAAACATTCAAAGATGTATTCCTTGGTCATACTTACAGTCGTTTCGTTCTTCTGTGAAGCAAATAGAATTAAGGGTTACAGTGTTGTTGATTCTTTTTAAAAAGAACTCTAATGTAAGCACTATGCAGAATTAATAGTTAACTTACTAAAATGACAAATTTAAAAGTATTTCATTCTTACAGGAGATTGGTGACCAATCTTGGTCAAGGCATCTGCTGGTTACCTATACCACTGACTTCTCAAACTTTAATGTTATTAGAGAAAGATAATGCCTTATAAAGGTTATTAGTTTTGATACCAAGATCCATATGTATCTGTAGAAAGATAAACTGCTCATTTTATTCAAATTGGTATTATGAATTTTGCTTATTTTAGAATGTGTGAACATGTGTGGAGTCTGTATACCAGGCAAGAATTTTAACTGTAGTCAATAGGCAATTTGTCACATGTAGATTAACCATAGTACAAATTTATCTTATCAAGATATCAGAGTCACCATTGGTTTATGGTTGAGTTTTGAATGTTGCTTTTATTCTCTGGGCTTTTCTCCATCTAATCTACCTTTTAGACTTTTTCTAAAATCAAAGGTGGTCCTAAAATCACAATTGTTTTTCTTTTCCCCCTGGAATGATTCTTAGGCATTAATACTATCATGTCATTTTTACAAATAAAAAAGAAGCAACCCTAGTGGAATTAAGTGACTTGCTAATCTTTTTTTTTTTTTTTTGAGTTGTAGTCTCACTCTGTCACCCAGACTCGAGTGCAGTGGCCGCTCCTGGCCACTGCAGTCCTGACCTGCTGGGTTCTGGCGATCCTTCTGCCTCAGCCTTTCAAGTAACTGGAACTACAGGCGCGTGCTACCACACC